AATATATATGTTATACAGTATATATATACATATGTATGTATATTGGTATGTATATATGTATGTTTGCACTTCGCATATGTCTCTGAGCAAGGTACCTGATGGGGGTTGCCTCCTACTGCACCAATATGGGCTTCAACACTTAAGCATGAAGACCCAATGAGTAGATAAAATAGAGGGCTTCGTGACCTAAAAGAAAGGCGTTATATAAATACCAAAAAACAAAAGTTAGTCCACTTGCTGATAATTTTAGATAAATTGGTTGTTATTCAATTTTCCAGTGAGACCAGTCCAGATATAAGCGATGCTATTCTTAATTCTACCCGACGAACCATCAGTTCATATCCATTCAATTTTACCGATGATCAGGCTCGCATCATTACAGGTACAGAGGAAGGCATATTTGGTTGGATCACCACTAATTTCCTCCTGCACTCTTTTAATGATGTAAGTAATGTTCCTACCTTTCGTTTGTCTCGCATTTCCTTATTCATTTGCTCATCTCTTCGTACTCCATCCCTCTTCTGTATCGCATCCTTTCTTTTCCTCTCTTCTTTCACCTCACCTTTTCATACTCTCATTCACCTTTAACATAATATTATTATTTTGCTTGGAACAAGTTCCATAATTTGGTTGCTGCAGTATCTCCCAAGTGATTGTGATTAAAGGACTCTTTTTTTCTATCTTTATGATTATTATTTCTTCTAATTAGAAACCGAATCTGCTAAATATCATGAAAAAACTCTTGCCATTACATGAAGGGAGATCTAGATTGTCAGGGCAGTTCAGTAGAGTACTTCTGTGTCGCCCTCTATAGATTCTGATTTATAACATAGCATACTGAACATGCATGCAATCAAGGGATGGCTTTATAAACCTGCAAATAAATATGATATACAGCAATATATTCCTCTTTGTTTATGACCTAATATGTCGGGCCTAGGACTGAAGACATTCTTGCAACATGGAATGTCATGGGTGATGATATATTAGTTAAGTATTCTTAGATACTTTCCCTGTGAGTGAACATGAAATTAAAAGGATTTATTTATTGTATTTGATAATCAAAAATATTGATAAAATTGAAGTATGGATATACTTAAGTAATTTATTATTTGATTAATTGATTACTCTATTACTGATGTTTATGAAGTAATCTTTCATTGAATAATTGCAGGGATCATCATTAGAAAGACATGTTCGGAGTTTAATTTTTACAGAGGACGCAGTTTCAACTGTTGGAGCTTTAGATCTCGGCGGAGCATCGACTCAAATCACATTCATTCCAGAAGACCCTGCATCTCTTACCGACGATCATAGCCAGTACTTGAGACTCTACGGTACTAACTATACTGTGTATACACACAGCTACCTATGCTATGGCATGAATGAAGCCAGAAGGCAACTGTATGCCAATCTTATAAAGGTATTAATCTTGATTTGATAACAATAATAATCATAGTCATAGTAATAATGATAATGATGTAGGTTTTTCTAATCTGTTTTGCATTACATTATTATATTAATAATGATGTCTATTGGGAATAATATGGTAAGTAGAGGTGTGCTTGTGGGGTGGAGTGTTTGCTTGGTGTTTGAGTACTTGCCTTTAAACCCTAGTGTCATTAGTTTTTTTTCATTGCTAAACCAACTCATTCAACAAGCATTATTCATCTTTTAATTAACGAATATGCTTGTTGCTGGATTTGAAATACAAAATGTAAAAAATTGTAAAAAAATTAATTATTTTAATGGATTGTTTCATATGGTTTGATAAGTACTTAACAAAGTATAATACATACTCCAAGTATTGAAATACACGCCATCAATTATGTCATCATCACTGATGATGACATAATTAATGTCGAAATATTGAATCCCAACACAATGGCGTGTATTTCAATACTTGGAGTATGTATTATACTTTGTTAAGTACTTATCAAACCATATGAAACAATCCATTAAAATAATTAATTTCGAAACATAATTAATGTCGAAATATTGAATCCCAACACGATGGCGTGTATTTCAATACTTGGAGTATGTATTATACTTTCTTATCTGAGATTAATCAGTGGACCTTTCGGTTGATAAGTACTTTGTATGTAAACTTTTCCTTTTGTCTAAACCAATTAAGGACAAGTGGTCATTTCATACTTGCATCAATTTGTTTACAATAACTATTTAGCAGGCAATGAACTGCTTATAAAAACAAATATAACAGTTCATTATATCGACTTCTAATAAATTGGTTTATTAAAAAGGGAAATGTGTACACAAAGCAACAATATTATGAGTGGAGTTAAGCAGTATAGTTTGGTAAGATGTCTGCCTCCAAATCATTGGGTCCTGGGTTCAGATCCTCTATGAGATCAGGATTGTCCTCAACCATAGCAACCACTCCACATTTTAAGGTCATAGACATGGGTTAGAGAGCACCATTCTATCCTGTAGTAATTATCAACTGTTAGATATTTTAATAAAAGAAATATATGATGAAGGGTGATGCCCAATATGTGTTTGTGCATTTTGATTTAGATTATATTACCTTAGTACTTTCCTTTCACAATCTAGTCATGTTATTTTTCATCATCAGTTGTTTGAGAATTCATTGTAAATCACTTGAAGGCCAAATACTCACAGCTTGTTAAAATCAATAATAATTAATATTTGTATAATTTTTTTTTATCAATAAAAAAAAGATCATTATTTCTTTAATAATAATTGTGTTCATGTTTAGGATGCTGATTTTGCTGAAAATGTTACAAATCCTTGCGGAGCCCTGGGACTTGTTGAAAGCTTTGATGGTGCATATCTTTGGGAAGCTCCTTGTAGTAATAACCAATCAGAGAATGTTGAATTCCAGTCAGCAAACAATTCCAAGTATTACTTCAGTGGTTCCAGTGACCCCGAAGCATGTTTGGTCAAAGTTCGTGAACTGTTCAACTTTTCTGCACCTTGTGAAATTGAGCCTTGTAGTTTCGATGGAGTTTATCAGCCTCCTCCATATGGAAAGTTCTTGGTAAGTACACCGGAAATGTGGAGTCATTGTGTAAGATGTAAGTTATTATATCACTTTTTTTATTGATGCTCACCATATGAAAAACGAAAGATATAAATCCACTACTAATAATAACCATAGGTACAACATCAGGCCTATGAGCAGTGACAATCACTTTCACAAGACAAACATACACACACACACACAATGCTTTACACAAACTAAATCTCAATATGAGGTTTTAGGAGTGAAGTTGTTTTGGTTGTGAGAAAAAATCTGCAACACTGACAGAAATTGAACCCATGACCCTGGGATTGGAAGGCAATCATCTTAACAAACAGGTTTTTCAACTCCACACTGACTAATACATTCACATTTACCAGTTGCAGCACCTCTGGTTGTAGACAGATTTCAAGATTGTTATTTCTCTTGACAGAAAAAAGAAAATACTGAATTAAGAAAAATTTACAATATTGATACATTTGTAAAATCTGGTAAAATATAAAACACACACAAAAGAGGATTAATACAGTAAGTTATATAAACATTAAAAAACCTTAATATCATAAGTAAAACAGAAAAGGTCATGATGAAGATAATTATATTGATATACTTTTTTAAAATAAACTTATGAATAAGCTATATTTTTAAGTTTTGTTCAAATAAATATGGGATCAAGTCCATAATTTGTTAAAATTATCCCCTATTGTGTTTAATGTTCTATTCAGACTACACTCTGTTGCGATCGGTTGCCATGTAATCGGTGGTAATCCAAAACTGATTACTCCCGATCGCAATCAACGAACGCATTCAGACCAACACAAACAAATTTTACATTCTAGGGCCTAGGCCTCCGGTGGCTAGGCCTATGTTGACTGACCTCAGCCAAATAGTGCCTGTGAAATTTGTTGCGATCGGATTCCGTAGTAATCGGGAGTAATAAAGATTGTAGCACCCAATCGCAACGGGTAACAATTGCGATATCGATTACATATCGACTACTATTAGTGAGCTTTCAGACACGATTTTACTTTGCGATTGGGTGCGATTGGGTGTCGCAATTGCTAAAACCGATCGCAATGCGATGCTAGTCTGAATGGGGTATAACTCAACCCTTTATGACATTGATTATTCTGAATATTAAGGTAATGCTTAAAATTAGTTTAGAATCATATGATACATTTCTATAACATTAACAACACTAAAGAATATGAATAAAGTGGTTTTTTTTTTTATTGTTTTTTTATATTGTGATGTTTTTTTGTAATTAGTAATCAGACATGTAATTTCATCACCAAAGAAAAAACAGTCAGATTCTGTTGATGATCATATTGGTATTTGTGGTAACCTTCTGATGATAATGTTGATGATGAGTATGATGGAGTGGAGTTGAATAGCTTGGTGGTGAAGATGTATGCTTTCCAATCCCAGGCTTCTGGGTTCAGTACCTGTCATGGAAGAGGATTTCTTCTGACAACCAAAACAACCCCACTCCCTAAGCCTCATAGTGAGACTTAGTCTTATGTAAAGCATCTTGTGTTTATGTTTGCCCTGTGATGGGGTTGCCACTTTGAAGAGTGATTAAGTTCAATGTTTGGCATATCTTTGGCCCTAGTGCCTAAAGCTAAATAAAAATATCAGTGGTAATGACAATGAAAAATTAGTTAATTGTATAGTTGGATAAATTATTTTTTTATGTAGCTTAATGAATGAATTATAATTTAATTAATTTCATTATGTTTCCATTTTGAATTTATTCTGTAAATTTTATATATTGAAATTCTAATATTGTAATTTTGTAATATATCTTTTTTGTAATGTAACTTATTTCAGCTCTTGCTGCTAGTTTGTATTTTTATATTTTATACCGAAATAAATAAAATTAAATAAAAATAAATTAAAAAAAAAATTAAACGATATTAATAATAACAATGATGAGTTATATGATGATGAGGATGATGGAAATAATTTTGATGATCAATTATGATGATATATGATGCTGATTTATATTAGATGAAACAAAGATAATTTTTGATATAATGATGAGTATGATGGAAATATTAATGTTGATACTTTTGGGCATGATAGTGCTAAAATCTAGTGATGATGAATATGATATGGTAATAAAATTAATAATAAAGGTGAATTGGTAAATTGTAAAGACAGTGCTGATGATACTGAATCTGCATGTACAGTAATGTTTCATGAGTGTTTTCTCTGCAATTCCCTAGGTACTTTTCAATCAGCATGACGTGTGATACCTTTAACACTCTCAGATGACAACAAGAAAATTTATTATCATTGCATTAAATGTAAATGTGAAATTAATATAGAGTGATGCAAAACAAATTGTTGCGTGTCCATTTGAAGATAAAATGAATGCCAACCTTGAACTAGTACATCAACACCCTGTGAACTTTTTGAATTAAGTTCCACGAATAATTACGCATATTCTAGTATCTCCCTCCATTATTTAAATGTTTGAGATTACATGCTGTGGGATACTGTATATTGTTTTCTGTGAGGTAAAACCTGACAGATTGAATGTAGTTTCATGTTTGCTAGAAGCCAACTGCTGCTCCTATTAGCATGCACATTAAGAATGTCTAATTTCACATTTTGGCGACAAGATTTCTGCACTTAACCCGTAGTATTTGAGCTTGCGGGAGTAGAGTGGTTCGTTATGAGGCATTTGCTCCTGGGGCATACTTAAAATCTGAGTTGCGATTGGCAATAATGTCTCATGCTATTGTATTTAACTATTGGTTTTGTGTGCATAATTTTATGTTATATGTTTGAATTATTGCTTGGAATGGATGTACTGTATTTGTTACTATTTCTTAATAAATTATTGTGTTTGAATGATAAATAGTAGATATTGTCAATTGTATTTTTTTTAGGTGGTTTAAAACCGTTCTTATAAATTTTAATCGCACATCCATCCTTCATTTCACTGAAATGTATACTGTACGCCCTTTGCTGTGCCATCTTTATTAGCTGTAATGTATTATTTTATGTTGCTAGGTTACAAATCTAGAAATGCTTACTCCTGCACTTGATATGTTTTTAGTTTGCTTAAATGATGCTTTATAATTTTCATATAATAATAATGAGCAATTAGTAGAGTTTTATATCATACACTAGTGGAAATTAATAAACAAAGGTTAGATTAATGCATGAACAAATTCCTGAGGGCCTGCACTAATGAAAAATTATGCATGGTTGAGGATAAGAAAATAAAATTAGGAGTTACAGTGATGACATCACAATTGCCTAATAATAATAATTATATCATCTTTCAAATGTTTAGTTTTGATTATTCGAAGATTTTGACTGTTCAAGTAATGAAAAGTAATATGAGAAGCAAAGTATTATTTGGGCATATCTCATTAGATAATTACTATTTTAATTAACTTGAGTAGCATAGCACCGTGGGCTATCCAAGTAGAGCACTTGTGTAATTCTGCACTATGTTGTGTTCACAGGCATTCAGTGGGTATTACTATGCTATCAACAATCTCAACCTCACATCTAATGTCACCCTTAATCAGCTGAACACGACAAGAGATGAATTTTGTCAAAGAAATTGGACAGATGTAAGTAGAAATTCAAATTTAAAACAAGATCGTAAATTATTTATATCGGGAAAGCGAATGATGGCAACCTTGGTGGTTGGAAAGTGAATACATTTTAAAATGTGATGAAAATGGATACAAAATGAATACAGAATAGATACATCTGCTAAAAATTTAATGTTACGGATTAGATCAATCTTACAATTAAACATTTCTTTTGAATATTGTTATGTTTTATGAAATTATTTAATTTGCATTTGTTTATGAATGAACATCTCATGTTATACACTAAAATTATAGAGTCTGAGCTTGTTTTAAAAGTTATACTCTTGTTTCTAATACTTTAATTAATGATATCTTTGTATGTAATTCATACTTAGGTTTTGGAACATACAACACATTCTCCATCTCAATGCTTCTTCATTTTTAATGTTTTCTTACCTCCTTCAGATTAAGGAGATCCCAGGCCTACAAGACAACACACACGTGTTTTGTTTTGATATAAACTATGTGTATGTACTGTTAGTAGATGCTTACAATTTCACCCAAGATAACTGGAATATTGAATTTGTGAGAGATGTAAGTTGTATTTTCAGCATTCCATTCAAAATCTTTGATACATCCACCATTGAAATAATAACACAGAAGGCCATGAATTCACCTAAAAAGTAATGATCACCAAAGGATTATAAACCAAAGGCCACAAACTCGAACCAAACCCACTGAGATATAGGTTTTGGTCATTTCTTGTTTTTCTAAGATCCCTTCCAAATGTACCCTTTTAAAAATGAAATTAATTGTATCTCTTTCTCAGTACATTCCTAGGTAACCTTGGCTATATGATAAAATATAAAAATAATGATTTATTATTTATTGCTATCTATATATATATATCAATCTACTGACAGGTTTTGTCAATATCTGTCCCATCTATTGCTGCTTGCCATGCATGATAAATGAAAGACCTCTGCAAACATATTCAAAATTATATTAATATCTAATCATTCTGACTCAGAAATGGCAAAACTGTAAAATGACTGATGTTTTGATTGTGATTTTTGAATATTGATATAATCTAAATGTACCTATTCATCCTGTTATTGGCATTTACACTGTTGAATAAGATGAAATGAAAATAAAATAAATAATATATAAATGTACCTACATTATTATGATTTTTTTTTTTTTAAGTACTGTTATTAGTAATGTTATGATTATGATTCGTTAGTTTTTATAACATTTTCAGTTTCCTATGATTAAAAGTCCAAATACAGGATGTCTGTTATTTCAAGAGTCACCTACTGTACTGGGTGTCCCTACTCTTTATTGTGGGTAGCTTCCCCTTCTTACTCTGTAGATAAATTCCGTTTTGGATACCTGAACCCCTGCTGGTACTTGAAAACTTTGCCTGCTTGGTACCCCTACTCCCTGTGACTCCCTTACTCTTTTTTTTTTTCCCTTACACATTTTTCCTGTGCCTGTATTTTATTTTAGGAGCTTTTAATAATGAATTTGCGATAATGATCTATGGATTAGAATTGGAAAATGAGATTCATATTTCTTAGCTATAAACTGAAAAGGATTATGAACCAAGGCCACATATTTGAACTTAGAACTTTAAGTAATTGTCATTGATTGTTCCCCAGTGTTATTTTTTTTCCAAAATGGACATGTTTAGCAATACATCAACCGCAAGAAATGGAATGAAGTATATTCTGCAATTGTTCCCTTCACTCATAAGTATGCTGTATGATAATTAATGATGTGTTTGGGCTAGAATTATCGTGTTTGTGTTTGTATGCAGAAAGTCTTCATAGGTCATCTGTATGTCATGTTTTATATTAATGAAACAAATGAAAAGGTAGCACTTTTTGACTAACGATGAATTTATTTCACAAGCTTTTGCCCCAGTCAATGGGGCTTCATCAGGTGAGTGAAGTGTTACACAAGGTACAGCAATATACATGGATATCACAAAATGATATAATTAGATGTTTTATATTAGGTTTAATTTTTTTTTTCCTGCAATAAAGTGTTACACAATTTGTGCTATCTTGAGATAAATATCATAGTATAAAAATAGAAAGAGTGGCTGATGAAAAAATAATTGGGTTAAAATTTGACAAGATAAATTAGCATATTACCATGGCGATACTGATACAGTGGTAGCTCTAGCATTTTACCATGACGATACAGATACAATGGGTCTAGGAATATGCATTTAATGGTGGAAAAGTTGTCCACCATAGGATCTGAAAGTTTATGGCAGAGGTGAGCGGTGCTACCAAGCCTGGTCAGGGGACCAGAGTTTAAATCCTAGTTGCAACCTAATTGGGCAATTTTAGCTAATTTCTGAGACAATTCCAAAATGTTTTTCTTATTTGGTCTAACAGTCTTTTGCTGAATAGGGAGCTCGACCTGTATTTGAATTACTGTTGGCGTCAGGCTACACCTGCCATACATTTCAAAACGTGAATGAAATTCAAAATGTTGTCTGTACACACAATATTTGTAGAACATGGACATAGTTTTTATGGTGAAATAATTGATGTTGTCACAAGTGTTTGGCTGCTAGTTATTAGGAACAGTAGGGTCTACCTATAAGCTTAATATACAAGGTACTCTAAAATATACGGTGTACAACCATCTCACTGAATGCTTTCAAATTTTAGTAAAGTGGCTAATTTAGGGGTGAATTTTTATATTTTGTTTAGTCTGGTAAAAACGTTTTACAAAGAACATTTATAATATTATTTATTTATAATATTAAATCTCACGAAATAATGTTTGCCCTACCTGACGTGCTATAAGTACTGAATGCTCAGTACATTCCCAAATGCTTGGGGAAACAATTTTTAAAGTATTCCTGTGAGAATCGAACCCACGACGTCCAGGTAACTACTCTGATGTCTGACCCACTAGACCACCGAGCTTGCGCTTGGTGGCTAGTGATGAATCTGATCCCAATATTAAATCTGATTTTGTATTGTTTTGACTCTATGCTTTTATGTACTGCATAGTCACAAACAATTTTCTATTGTAATCTCAAACCAGGGGCAGATCCAGAGATGTCTGAAACGTGGGTGAAAGGGGGGGGGTGTGCGATTGAGAGACAACACTGCTCTAGTGGGGTTGTTTTCCAGACGTCTAGAAATAGCCTTTGTGACGTTTTGGGTGGTCAATATGTTTTTTTCTTTCTTTATTTCGTTTTTTTTTACTTTCCCAGCCTCTTCAGTTTTAATTTGGCCAACTTACTGTACTATTATTTTACAGACAAAACAACATGCATATTGGTAAATGTTTAGAAGGGGGAGAGGGGATTGCACTACCCTTTAGCAGAATGCTGTTAAGAGGACTCATGAATAAATTATGTGATTTACTTCGTTTCCTATTTAATTGTGGCATTCAATAGATGTGTTTCTATCATGTCATCTAAAATTCAATAGTATTTACTGTGAATGATTAGCTTTTGTAGCATCAGTGAATAGATAATAAAAGAGGAATTGTGAAAGGAAATCTTTACTTGATGAAAGAGGATTTAACTTAGATTCTGAAAGCAATACAAGAAAATTAATCTTCAGCCTCATAAATCATGTCAACTAAACAGTTCTCTGCATAATTAAATTGAATTTTGTTTTAATTGTTTCGTCTATGTCCTGTCTCTTATACACATCTAGATGTGTATAAGAGGCAGATGAAAGACCTCTGCAAACATA